TCCTTCGTCATTTGATTTTTTTAATATATTTAACTTAAAAAGCAAATTTACAGTTCTAGGTAAAACAAAGTAAGAATCTAAGTGAAGACGTCATCTATGGATCTTTCTATCCATGTGTAAATTTCCCTAAATGGATATTTAAACCTATCCACTAAACATATAGGTACATAGATCTCATTGTTTAAATATTCATATATATATATATATATATATATATATAAAATCCCAACAAGCTCACCAAAAAACTGTTAGAAACAATAAACTAGTAAAATGTCAGGCTACAAAATACACATCTGCAAACCTAAGTGCAAACAATAAGTGAGAAGAAATTAATAATCCTAATTTACTTTTGCATAAAAATCCTACAAATAAATTTAACAAAGCAGGTGAAACAGCTATATAATAAAAACTAAGACACTACTAAAAGATACAGAACAAGACAAAGAAGTGGAATGATATCCTATTGTTATGAATGGGGTGAACTGAGTCAAAAATGACTGTCCAACCAAAAGAAATCAATGCAACCTCTATCAAAGTGACAGTAATTTTCAATAAAATAGGAAAATTACTAAACATTTATATGAAACCGTAAAAGACTCCAAATCACTAATGTGACTCCATAAGAGCAACTTTGAGAAAAATGGAGTCATACCACCTAATTTTAAACTATATTTTAATGCAAGATAATTTAATCAGTATGGTACTGGAATTAACACACATATACAGATCGAACAGAATCAAAAGTCCAGAAATAAATCCACATATATGTCAACACCAAATTTATGATGATGGAGTCACAACTATACAATGGAGAAGGAAAAATCTCCAGCAAATGGTGTTGGGAAAAACTAAAGTTACATATAAAAGGGTGAAATGGATCATTCTTCAACTCCATAAACAAAATAAATTCAAAGTTAATTGAAGACTGTGTATAAGACTTGAAAGCATAAAATACACAGAAGAAAATATAGGTGGTACATTTCATGACATCAACGATCAAGATGTCTTTAGGGACTCAACCCCAATGGCCAGGGAAATGAAAACAAAAATAAACAATTAGGATTACATCAAAGGTAAAAGCTCTTACATAGTGAAAGATAAGACTAGGCTAAAACAGCCTTCTGAGTGAGAGGCAATACTTGCTCATCACACACATAAGATCAAGGTAGATAAAGAACTCATCCGACTTAACAGCAACAACAAAACAATTTTTAAAAATGGATAGAAGATCTGAGCAGACACTTTTCCAAAGAGTATATACAAGTGGCTGATAGACATGAAAAATGTTCACCAATAGTTATGAGGAAAGGCAAGTCAGAACCACAGTAAGATGTCATTGCACACATCTAAGAATGGTTTAGATAAAAAAGACTACTAGTTAAGTGTTCAAAAGGATGCAGATAAACAGGAAGCTTTATACACATTGGTGGGGATGTAAATTGGCACAGCCATTTGGAAAAGTTATGGCATTTGAAAAAATCTAAAAATAGAACAAGCATATATGATCCAGTGATCCCACTTCTAGGTACCTAGCTGAAAAATATGAAACCATCAATGGACCATAAAGTTTACTGCAGCATTATTTACAACAGTTAAGCCAAGAAGAAACCTATCTGCCCACAGACAGATGATCAAATAAAGGTGTGGTATATATACGTAATGGAATATTATTCAACTGTAAACTAAAATGAAATTTTGTCATCTGCAGCAAAATGGAAGGAACTTGATGGGTTTACGCAAAGCAAAATTAGAAAAATGAAAATAAATGTTGGCTGCTTTCAGCAATACGTGCAACATAAGAAAACTAAATTGATGAATGGAAAAAAAAAAAAAACAGAATAAACTAGTGAACAATGAAACCAGAAATGAGGTTACAGAGGTGAAGAGGGTAGGGGATAGAGTATGGGGGTGGGGGGGAGGAGATATAAAGGATGGTTGTGGGCATTTTGTTACTAAAAAAAAATTTTTTTTTAATGAATCCAATAATAAAATAAGGCTATTGAGATATACAATGTGCAAGTTCAGTAGCCAAAAGAACACCATTCACCCAATTATTTGTTTCCAACTTAAAAAAAAAGTCCCCATCAGGGCCCTTGGTGGCGCAACTGGTTAGAGCAGCAGCACTGCAAGCTGGCTACAGCCAATTTAGTGGGAGTGTGATCCCCAGCGCCCCATGTGACCCACATGGGTGGCAGGACCTCTCCTGACCCTCCCACTGCTCCCCTCAGCAGTGTACTTCTTGATCTGCCTGTTCTGCTCCTCACTCTGTCTCTGGTGAATCCTCTAACCACCCCTGCACCTCTGGCTGTATTCCAGTTCTGTATGCATAAATAAATAAATCTTTAAAAAAAATCCTGATCATACTGACACAAGTGTCACAAGGAACAATCACAACATGACTTACATTTTGTGGAGAATGTTTCCTAAGAAATTTTATAAAGAAAATTAAAATCAAGGGTATAAAATAAAAACTAAGAGCAAATCCAACTGACTAGAGCATTGACTCAAATATATATCCACAAAATAAAAATCTTTTAAACCTAAAGCAAGCAAAGTTTTCTTGAATTTCAATGTTGACAGTTTGGGAATGGAACTGTACCATGTAAGAATGAAAAGAACACAGAAGGGGGGAGGGGGAGAAACCCATAAATTTTCTCTTTTACAAATCACAATACAAAATCTTTTATTTAGTAATTTTACATTCTACTACACAGGAAAATTACCTAAATAACCTCTATTCAACTGTTACTGTTTAGGCATACATTTACCAACATCTGCCCTCGAGTCTTTGTAGATCAAGACTTAAAAAACTGACTTGGAAGAGAAAGAAAAATTCCGGATGGTTTCGCTCATAGCAGGAGTATAATGGACCAGGCGAGAAAATAATAATAATGAACAGAGACATTTTGTGGGGGTGGAGCGGGGAATGGGATCAAAAACGGGGGGTGGGGAAGGGAAGTACACGGGACTATGGTGATGGCATATGGGTGACTCGGTGATGGGAAACCCATGGGGATTACAATTGAGGTGGAAAAAAAATACAAAATGATGTAAAAAATAAACTGTTATATTATCAAAAAAAAAAAATTGACTTGGTTCCAGGTGTCTCTCGTTAAAAAACAGCACAGTCTATACTACTTTTAAATAACTGTCTTTTCAAAAAAGACCCCTTAGTCATTAAAGAGTTGAACAGACACTTGGAAGTCATCTAGCATCAACCCTAAATACCCACGCCCCCACTGATGATCATGAGATATATTAGCTGCAACTGTTCTACTTTTCCCTGGCCATTCACTCCCAAACGATACCAATGTGTGTTCAAACTATGGAGCCTGATAGTTTTTTAACAGGCATTCTGATGGGGGGTGGGGGAGGAAATGCAGTAACCCAACCCTCCCACTAGTCAACCCTTGACATTCACCCCTTCCATCGTCATCTAACATTTATTGAACACGCCTCGCTGTCAGATACATTTGGTTTTACCTGCTTCTCTACAGGCCCAGACTCCTTCCCCTGGGCAGCCCTCCATTCTCGAGCCATTTCTGCGTATTTCTCCTTTTCTTCCTCACTCAAGAGCTTGGGGGAGATTGAAGGAGACACAACAGAAGCAGTAGTGAGGAACGAGGGTCCTGACGCAGGGACTGATACCTGAACATGCCCGATAGGCAGTTCAGCGTCGGTTTGCCCTGCCCTGTATCTGGGGGCTCCCTCTCCCTCCAGCAGGGGCCAAGCGGTCACTGGCCCCTCCGAAGCCTCTTCCTACCGCCTACCCTCCCGCTTGCCCAACTGCCCGGCCAACCCTGCTTGGCCTGCCCCTGGCTTACCGCCCAGTCAGAAGAGCAGTAGGGGATGGCATCAGCTACGCGAGCCACCGGCAGGCCCCGCCGCCTGAGTTCGGGAATCTTCTCCTGCACAAAGAAATAGTAGGCATTACGGCTGGCCCTGCGGTTCGGCATGGTGAGCGGGGACAGGCTTCGTAGGGGACCAGAGACAGCACAAGCCGCCGGCGCCCTCGCCGGGCTCCCGCCCTTAGTAACCGAGGCATGCGCTTGCGCGCTCAAGACCCCCAGCTCTCAGCCAATCAGGGCGCAGCGCGCAGCCGCCCTGACCCAGCAGAGAGAAAAGCAGCCTGTGACTGGAGGAGCTTTCCTCGTGCGTCTGTGACGTAGCAAGGGGCAAGGAGGAGCGAGGCGTGAAGGGCACAAGGGCGGAGTATTCTGATTGGCCGGGGGCAGTCGTTGGCGCCGAATTGTCACGTGAGGTAGGGGGCTATTTCTGTACATTATTGCGTAATGTGTGTCTGAGTAGGTAGAGACTAGGGGGAGTGGGGAGTGTTTCGGCGTCGTCTGTTTTATAACTGTGAAGGGCGATTACTGTGCCAAGTACTGTGAAAGTGTTGGGAGAAGGGGAGCGCAGAGTGAGGAAAAGAACAAAAAAAAATCTGGTCCTTCCAGAAGTTCAAAATTTTATGGAAAGATGACAAAAACAAAAGGCCCCGACAATATGGGTTTTGAAATAAATGTCAGAAAGGCTCACAGAGTTCAGAGGCTGAGATTTAAAATAATGGCCTCTGGCCCTCCCCGGTGGCAAAGCGGGGTAAAGCACAGCGCTGGCCTCAGCCACTTCTGTGCCTGTCGATCCCTAGCCCCAGGGCGGGACCCACAGGCACGGCAGACCTCTCCTGACCAGCCCGCTGCTCCCCTCAGCAGTGTACTTCCTAAATCTGCCTGTTCTGCTCCCCACTCCGTCTCTGGTGAATCCTCTCACCCCTGTACCTCTGGCCTGTACTCCAGTTCTGTATGAATAAATAAATCTTTTTTTTAAATTATTAAAATAATGGCCTCCAAGTTTTAGAGATTGCTCCATAAAGGTCCTATTCACTTTCTGTTAGTGCTATATAATATTATTAATAATATGTTAGTAACTTGCTCTTTCAGGGCTGTATCATAAAAACCTTTCTTCTATTATGTTTTGTAATTGGTGTCTGCCAAAGTGTGGACAAAATAGTGTTTTTAGGGTTTGTCTTTGTTAAGTCAACTTTCAAATTGATTCAAAACAGTGGCTGTTGATTTCCTTGGATTTCTAGCTATATATGCTTCTTAGAGAAATTGCCTTCTGTATTCAGTTTAAGGGTGTATATATATGTTTTAAAATCAAGTAATAGTTGAAAACTTATTAAATGCATCTTGTGCATCTTTTCACATGACTGTTTTTTCCTTTGATTTGTTAATGAGTTTCTGGTTGTTCTAATATTGAAGCACTCTACTATTCTTGATATAAACATTTTTTGGTCATGTGACATTGCTGATCTTTTAAAGCAGTGTTTTTATTTTTTTTTCATAATGAAACTGAATTTAAGTATTCTTGCCTGGTCCTTACCAAATGGACTCAGGGTTGTGATCATTTCTTAAAATGAACTGTCATCTTTTCTTCTGCCCTCATTGACCAATCGAAATTATATATCCCCTAAGAGTTTAGTATAACTTACTAGTTAAAAACTCCTTGATCCTAGTATATATTTCAAGTATAGAATTGACCTTGGATTACTCTTTCAATGTTTTGTATGGTTAATTGTCTTTTCAGGTTTCCTAATTTTTATTCAACAAATTTTGGTTGAATAAAATCATCTATTTAATTTAGGTGTAAATGTTAGTGGGGCTCTGAGGCAACTACAACTTTCATACTTTACTAATGGGAGAATTATGTAAAAGTTAAATATAAACTTTTGCAACCCAGAAATTCCACTCATTTAGTAGAAATATACATATATATGTGTGTATATATCCATATATATTTATACATATATATTTATACATATATATATTTATATATACATACATACGTACATACACACACACACACACACACACACACCCCTACATAGAGACTTGTGCATGAATTTTCATAGCAGTTCTTGGAGCATCCCAAACTAGGCTATACAAGTATTTATTAAAAGATGACTTCAGGCCCTCCCTGGTGACACAGCGGGTTAAAGCACAGCACTAAGAATATAAAGCCACTTCCGCATGAATTCGATCCCCGCCTGCCCCAGAGGTGACCACATGGCGTGGCAGACCTCTCCTGACCCACCC